GCACTTTATATGTTGCTTGTAGAAATATTTATAGTCACTGGTCCTTTTTAATAGCCATCATTGAAGTATAAAGCTTTTTGCAGGTAGATGGTGTAGTTACAATATCTACCAGCAGGAGCTAATGGGATCATGCTAACCATTCCAACTTTGACCCCCCTGGCGTATCCAATAAAAAAAGGCCAAAAATATAATAAACAAATATCAATGTTTAATATGGCACTGAGTTTTGTTTCAGATAAATCTCCCACTCTGCGAGCATTGCTATGTATCTGAAGAGTGGTTTGTGTGGATTTGGAGGAGCATGTCATCCTGGATAGACCTGTTTCCACCCTGAGATGAGGCACACTTGGAAAAGCAATGCAGAGGTTTTCCTAATCAACTAATTTGTGCTGCTTCTTCCTTCCTGCAGGTAGCACAGCGGATTATCAAAGCCCGCAATGCATAAACACAACAGCAATCATGTGCTAGAATGCTTGATAGATTCAGAGCCCTGGGATGTAAATGACTCCACTCATGATTACAGCATTTCTGTTTTTGGACTCCCTGTGTTGTCAGAAGACAGGCATGCTCTCTTTTTGCCGAATGATACAGAGCCTTAAAATCAATCTCTTTGGTTTATTACAGCAATAGACTACAATGATAGCAGGAAATGGGGAACAATTGTAACATGAAAATATGCAGTTACATTTGCAAAACATGCATATCCAAATCAACTTTACAACACTATTCGGTTTTAAATGAGAGTGAGAATTGCTTTCTACAATAAAACTAACTGCTTTATATTTTCAGGTCAATACATTTTTTAAAATATTAGAAAATCAGACCTTTTATGACTTGTTACGTTATTTTACCTCGTAAACTGAAATTTAATACAATTTCCAAATGTATTTTTAATTTTTCTTTTTATTAATGATTGAATTAATTGATCAGCTGTAAAACATATCTTTAAAACTTTGAAAATATAATTAAGATGTGTACACTTGTGTATTCAAGGTGTATGGAAGTATGTTATTACTTTTTTCTTGATCGTTACACAATGATATTTTAGAGTCGTTTAATTGAAACTTTAGTTGAAAATGGTATATTATAACCAACATGAATACAAATAATAACTTTCTAAGAACTTAGCACCTATGTTTAAATAATAATAAAAAAAAAAAATAAAAAAAATCACTTATTTTGTAGTTGTCAGTCCCAAAAATGTGAACATATCTTAAATGTAGCTTAAACTGGACAGATCAGGGCCCGTATTTATCAAGCCTCTGAGAATTACTCTCAAGAACGCTGCGAAGAATTGACTTAAGTGTAAAAAACTTCTTGGCTCAAAGCTGCGCTTAAAAGTTAGTTATCAAGCATCTCAGCTTTAAGCGAAGTAATTTAAGCGAAGTGTAGGACTAAATCTTAAGTGTCAGTCTTAGAGATGATTCACGACACTTTGCTGTGCCACAAACGAGATTTTGGATGACGAAATACACATATATTTGACGACAGCAAGACGATTATTATTATTATCCATCAAAAATATAGGCGCCTATCTTTAGTGATGCAGCGCAGAGAGCCGCTTCAGAAACTTGCCACGGCGCGGCTGGTGAGTAGCCGGGATCAGCTCCAGTGGCCGTGTCGGAGCCTACAGATGACTTGCAGGACTCTGTACGTTATTGTACTAAATTAGTTTTAATCGTTTAATCACCACAGCGTCTTGTCTCCATTGACAACACGCACCATTTGTGTCGATTGCAAGTAACGTCGCAGGTATCGGAGAGTGCAGGTGGCGATTGCAAGTGACATCGTAATTTAGTTTCTTTTTTCTTGTCTTCACCACCTGGCTACTGTTGTAAAATGTTGAGCGATTCAAACAAAAAGTAATAAAAAATAGAACAAAATAAAAAATAAAGCCTGCAAGTGACGTCGCTAGCGGAGGGTTAAGAGATTTATTCATGATACAGTGTAGGTAGCTTCACTGATTATAACGGGAGTGTTTTTAAAGAGCATATAATACTCGCGCTAGACTGAAGTCAGTTATGATGTTCTTTGGGAATGTAAATATTCTTTGCTCGTTACTGTTTGAATAACTGAGGAACTGTAACTGTTTTATTAACTGCTCGTCGTCAAACATTTCAAGAACATTCTTCCTCTCCTGAAAGATTTGCGCACGTCTCTGTCTCCTCAGCGCCATCACAAGCCCCTACTGGCAACTCCTAAGAATTACAGGCAAGCAGGTGAGCCCAGAATAAATGCAACAGGCACAGTTTCGTGTTAAGCGTTTTTCCATATAGAATAAACTGTCTACAGCTCTTTTATATCATTGTCTTTGTCCATTAAGCTACATTACGTGTTTTATTTATAATGATTTTGCAAGTGACGTCGCTAGCGGAAGCGCAAGTGTCTGAGAGTGCAAGTCTGAGAATGCAAGTCTGAGAGTGCAAGTGCAAGGCTGCAGCTAGACCCTCTTGACTTTTATACCTTTGCCGCGGGTTGTTTTTTAAGTCTGCGGGTTGACGTGAACCACCTTCTACCATGCCCCCACCCCACATCAGCTAATATTCATGAGCCACGCAGATAAGTTTCATAACGTGTACCCTCAGTTTTCTGATGGTTCCTATAGCTCTGGTTGAAAGACAGTGGAGGGCAATGTGTCCTCGTGCCAGCTGCCATGATAGAACTTGGATGTTGACAGCATATGTGCTCACTGCAGAAGCCGGCACGTCATAATTTTTCAATTGACGTCAGTGCCTGCAAATTGCTCATGTGTCAAACACCTCTCTGTTCGGCCTCCTTTGAGATCTCAGGCAGGTGTCATTCGATCAAACCAGGTAAGCACGTTCCTGGATGCGCACAATGCCGAGACCAACAGCTGAAAATCTGTCATCTTTAAAAGGTGACATCAAGTGAACAGAGAGGTCGGCAGGTGCTTCAATAACCCGTTTGAAAGTGGTGGGCGCAGATCCATATTTGTCAGAGCGTGGCTGTAAAGACATGCATGGCTGGGCTCATTCTCACCCATTGTTTGGGTAATGATGGTGCTATTACTCATATGTTGTGGTTTAGATACACGGCTGGAGACCAGATGATCGTCATAAACAGAGGCAATGAAATATTCCCACAGCATTGCCACATTCCAAAAAGCTCAAGTTGGTATGATGTTATATGAGCGAGATAACACACCGTGGGTTGACTCTTGCCCATCAGTTTTATATGCTCAAATGAGTATCTGTAATAATAAAAAGTTGAACATAATCGTAAACCATTATCTCCTTTTATGTTCCACAGAATAAATAAATGAATGCAGATTTGTATGACTTGAGGATGAGTAAATCTTAAAAGAAATTTTAATTTTGCGTGAACTATCCCTTTAACTTGTTGTGGAAGCTATTATGAGGATAAGATCTGCCAACATATAGCATCTGTTACATGTCCAAGAACTGCTGTCATATGATGTAATGTTTATAGACAAAGTGATAAATATTGATGGCTGTGTTGAAGGAAGTAGAAGCTCAGAGATCTGCGGACGTTATTTTTTTTTAATTGGGAGGTGTTGAGAAGACCTCTCTGAAGTGGTGCTGTCAGTGCGCATCAGATGAGTTGAGATTTTGATGAATGTACAAAAATCTCTATAGCTTGCCCTTCAATCCAAATGAAGCTTGCGCATTTGTTGTCAGGGGCATCATACAGCCTTTTTTTTTTTTTTGGAGGCACCAGTGGTAGTCTTGGGTAAGATCAAACCAGTGTTATTTCAGTATTATTTATATACTGTTGTAGTATTTATTCATTTTGCTTTCTTTTTATAATGTCAGTTTTCAATTTAATTTTGAGTTAAGTAATTTTTATATGTTTTGTCATTTTTGTTTTTTATATTTTTTATTTCTTCATTTTTATTTCAGTTGTAGTAATTTTTTAGTACTTATTTCATTTAATTTCTCAAATTTTATGCCATTTTAAATTTCTATTTCATTTAATTTTTTTCATCTAATATATATTTTATTTCAACAAAAACATTTTTTAATTGTTTTAGTTTATTTTCAGTTTAGTTTAATTTTAACAGTAACACGTATTAAATGTGACAAAAAAAACCCATGAAAAAATAAAGGTTTTATTATAAAAGAGCGTAGTCAACACAGGCAGGGTCAAACACCAGTAAGCGACATCAATAGGGGCAAGGCAAAAGAGTATTCCAAAAAATTGTAAAGGTCAGGGCAGACAGCAAACGATCAGAAATACAAAGAAAAAAAGGCCAAGGTCAAGACACAGGCAATGCAAGGCAAAATAAGGAAGCGCTTAGAATTGTGGCTACAGAAAACAATACTTCGCACTGTGTGTATGTAAGCGTGCGACTTAAATCCTCCTGATGGAAAACAGGTGAGTCTTTAATCAGTTCCTAGGTATGGGATAATGGGAAATGGAGTCCGGTATGAAAAGGTGATGGAGACTTCTGGTGGCGAGTGGGAGGAATGAGAGGGACCGGATGCTGATGAGCAAAGAGAAATTACGATGCTTTGGGATACTGGCTTGATGCAATCTTTTGTGGTGGAGAATAAGTTGCAGTTTTCTGATGAAACTTCGTGTAGCTCCAGTGTAATTGTACAAGGTATTGAGATGGGATGTGTAAAAGTGCCTTTGCATAATGTGCATTTGCAAAGTGACTTGTGTACTGGGTTTGTTCGAGTTGCAGTTTGTACTTCGCTTCATGTGAAAGGGGTAGATTTCATATTGGGAAATGACTTGGCTGGAGGGAAAGTTATGCCCTTGTTGGAGGTTTTGGACAAACCAGAAGTTTGTGTGACAAATGAGGTTGGTGAAACTTACCCTCATGTCTTTCCCATGTGCGCAGTTACCCGTGCGCAGTTGCGAAACTTGAAAGAGGTGGAGTTGAACGACTCATTCTTTCCTGCTGTAGTTAATGGAGAGAAAGAACTTGATTTTGAAGTTCCTAAACAAAAGAAAATGGAACAATTTCAAGAAATGCTGACTGATTCAGACTCGCTGATTTCAAAAGTGTCATGAGAGAAACTCTTTTCTGCACAAAAAGAGGATGAAACTCTCACCACCGCTTTTAACTCAGTTATCTCTTCTGATCTGGCTAAGGGTAAGCAGAATGCTTATTTTATTGACAATGGCTTGTTGCTTCGAAAATGGTGTGCATCACCAAAGCAAGATTCTGATTGGGATGTTTCTTATCAGATTGTGGTTCCTGTACTATATCGACCACATGTGCTATGTTTAGCGCATGATTATCCACTTTCAGGACATCTTGGAGTTAGGAAAACTTATAGTCGGATCTTAAAGCATTTTTTTTTGGCCAGGACTGAAAAAGGATGTCGTTTTCTATTGTCTTTCTTGTCACACATGTCAAGTTGTGGGAAAACCAAACCAGGTTATTCCACCTGTTCCACTGAAACCAATCCCTGTGCTAGGAGATCTGTTTGAACACGTATTAGTAGACTTTGTTGGCCCTTTGCCAAAAACGAAAAGTGGTAATCAATTTTTACTTACTGTGATGTGCTTATCTACTAGGTTTCCAGAGGCGATTCCTCTAAGAAAAATTCCGACACCGAGCATTGTGAAAGCACTTGTGAGATTTTTCTCGACATTTGGTTTGCCTAAAATTGTGCAAAGTGACCAAGGTACACATTTTATGGCCAATGTATTTAAGCAGGTAATGAAAACCCCTATCGATTACCCATCGCACGTCTAGCGCCTATCATCCGGAGAGTCAAGGTGTGCTGGAAAGATTTCACCAGACACTGAAATCTATGAAAATCTATGAAATCTATGCGAAAGTACTGTCTAGAGACAGGTAATGATTGGGACGAGGGAATACCTTTGTTGATGTTTGCTGTAAGAGAAAGTGTGCTGGAATCTCTTGGATTCAGCCCTGCTGAACTGGTATTTGGGCACCAGGTATGTGGTCCTTTGAAGGTTTTAAAAGACAACATTTTGGAAAATGATGTCAGTGCAAAAACAAATTTACTGAACTATGTGACAAAATTCCGAGAACACTTGAATAAAGTTTGTTCGTTAGCTAAAGAATCTCTCGCTAATGCACAACAAGGAATGAAACGTAACTTTGACAGAAAGGCTGTTACGCGCTCTTTTATGCCTGGAGACTCTGTTCTCGTATGTTTACCAGTCCCCGGATCTTCACTTTCTGCTCGTTTCTTTGGTCCTTATGAGGTGAAAGAGAAAATTAACGAAACAAACTATGTGATCTGTACTCCTGACAGAAAATGGAAGATGCGTATCTGTCATGTGAACATGTTGAAATTATATCATGTTAGAGTTCAACCTGAGACAAACGCTGTTAAAGCTGTCAAATCTCCAGTTATTTCAGTTGCAGCCATGACAGAGATGATGCCTGTAACTGATTTACGTAAATGATGATCTGAAGATGATGGAGTAATTTTTAGAAATATTCCTCAAGCTACTGTGAGATTGACGAATTCTGAAATTTTAAAAGATCTTAGCTCGTATTTTAAAAACTTGAATGAAAACCAGAAAAATGATCTTATTCAGCTTTTTTCAGATTTTGAATGCTTGTTTAAGGATGTGCCAACACTGACAAATGTTTTGCACCATGACATTGATGTTAAAGATGCTCGACTGATTAAACAACATGCGTACAGAGTTAATCATTTGAAGCATTTGGTAATAGGTCAGGAAGTTGACTATTTATTGGAAAATGGTCTCGCAAAAGCAAGCTGTAGTCCTTGGAGTTCACCATGCATTTTAGTTCCAAAACCAGGTGGTTCTTTTAGATTCTGCACTGATTTTAGGAAAGTGAATGCAGTCACTGTGCCTGACAGCTATCCACTTCCTTGAATGGAAGATTGTGTCAATAACGTTGGTTTTGCACAGTTTGTAAGTAAGTTAGACATGCTAAAAGGCTATTGGCACTCCCGATTCATTTCTGCAGTACACTGCGATGGCTTTTGGGCTCAGAAATGCACCGGCCACGTTTCAAAGGCTTGTTAATATGAATTTAACTGATTAACTGATGCCAAATTGTAGTGCCTATTTGGATGATTTGGTGGTTTATTCCAAAGATTGGAGTGAACATATTAAGTCACTTCGAATGGTATTTGAGCGCTTGGCAAAAGCCTTATTAACACTTAATTTAGCCAAGTGTGAATTTGGTCAAGCGACGGTAACCTATCTTGGAAAAGAGGTGGGGCACGGTCAAGTTCGTCCAGTTAAAGCTAAAGTGATGGCTATTTCAGATTTCCCTGTTCCTAATACTCAACGAGAACTTCAAAGATTTTTGGGAATGGTTGGATACTATCGAAGTTTTTGTAGGAATTTTTCATCTGTGGTTAGTCCTCTCACTTCTTTGTTAAGCCCTTCGAAATCTTTTGTGTGGAATGCTGAGCGTCAGTATGCGTTCGAAAGTGTGAAAGCTTTTGTGCAATTCACCTGTTTTCCATGCTCCTAACTATGAACGTTCTTTTCAGCTTGAAGTGGATGCTAGTAATGTTGGAGCTGGAGCTGTTCTTCTGCAGGAAGACGAAAAAGGTATTTTTCACGAAAGTTTAACAAAAACCAGTTAAACTATTCTACGGTCGAGAAAGAAACTCTAGCTTTAATACTTGCTTTACAACACTTTGAAGTTTATGTTGGTTCTAGCATACTTCCAGTTGTTGTGTACTCCAATCACAGTCCGTTAGTGTTTCTGTCTAAAATGTACAATCAAAATCAAAGATTGACTCGGTGGTCTTTATTGCTCCAGTGTTATAATATTGAGATTAGACATAAAAAGGGCGCTAATAATGTGTTTGCGGACGCTCTTTCTAGAGTATAAACTTTTTTTTTTTTTTACAAAAAGTTTAATTTTAAGTGGGGGATTGTTACGGTCTGCGACCTTTTGTGCTGTACATTTGTTATTTCTTTTTGTCTCTTTTCTGTTCTCACTCTCATGCTCTTAGGTACTGCCTTCCTTGGATTCTATTTGCTATCTTTGCTGTCATTCATCATTAATTATGACAACAGTTTTCCTCCGTCAATCACGCTCTCGTCTGAGAGGTTTAAAAGGAGAACATCAGAGGGAAGAAGGGTGTGTGACATTTTGTATTGTGACTGTTGTGTGCACTCATGGAATGTGTTTGTGTTACGCTCTTGGGTTTTAACGGCTGGCTATGCTGCTGTGTGATCTGATGTCTTTGTCATCTCGCCGCTGGTTTGGAAGACAAGGAAGGAGTGGAAGAATTTAGTAAGTCACGTGGCCTACATACCTGCACCTAGGGATCTTGCATGTATTAGACACACTAGTTTAGTTGTGTGCACTTTTCTTGTATGTTTTGTTTTTGTATATTCAGTGTAGTTCATGACGCTTTTGCGTTGAAGACTTTTACTTTCCTTTTCTTTAATAGTTTAGGAGTTTTGGGATTTAGTTAGTTAGTTAGTGGGATTTGTCTTTTCTTTTATGATGTAAGCACCACTTTAACTTCCCTTCTTTTCCTTTGTCTTGTTTGTTTAGCTTGTTGTTCCTTGGGGGCAATAAATCTTTCTTGTAGTGCAGTTTCGCGTCATGTGTTCCATTGCCACTCATTTCCCTGGCTTTTTTCTTTAGTATGTCAATTTAATGTTACCTCTTTTAATCCCTAGACAAAATTCACATCAGAGACTTAACATATACTGTAGATATGCTTTAATCTCTTAACTGTTCATTTGAAGGTCTAAACATGTGAATCAATTTCCTATCACGTTTCAGGAATGCTGAGTGGAAAGAAGCCATAATGAATGACCAAACAGGGGAAGCATGCAGTTACAAATATGATAGACAGCCATATAGAACAATAAAATTCATATGCCACTTATAAACATGATTTTCAAGTGGTTGTAAAAGCTAAAGAGAACCAAATAAAGTCTTTTAAGGAACAATATATTGTTATGCTTGTTAAAATAATAGGGAAAATCTTCAAAGTCAAGCTGGATATATGGATTATTTTTCAATGGCAGTGACTGCAAACAATTTTGGTTATGAACTTTGTATATCTGAACTTAGAGTTCTGTGCAAATTGTTCCTCAACACAATCCAATTGGATGAAGTACTGTTAGTGTGATTTATAATTTTAAATATACAATTTTAAATGATGTCAGAGATTGAGATTTGGATTCAGAACAGTGGAACCCGTTACTAAACCTCCTTTAATTGGACCCTGACTGAGGAGCTGATACCTCCATCAGAATCATGTCCATCAGGGTCTCAGTTTCATACAGTTCTTTAATTTAGTGGCTCACTTGTCAAGTCTTAAATCTGTTTCACATCCTGCATCTGTATGTGAAAGCAAAAAAGCAGCATAGCTGCAACATCTGCACATTTTCAAACATTTTTGTCACTCTATACACGTAACATGGTATAACATGGTTTCATTGAATATTGCCTTTTGATATTTACTTCAAGAGGAGGACAATATTTACAAATAAATGTTAATTAATTTAGAAAGCTAAACCCATGCAGCTTTAAACTGCTGAAATGATCTAGATATAATTACTCTAGTGAAAAGGAAGTACGCCTCAGCATGCTTTAAAAAAAGAGTACTTATTATGGAAATAATATAATTTAAAGGAATATTGTAAATTAACTTAATTGTAAACTGAATGTAATGTTAATTAAATGCATTTAGCTGAAGCAGTACTTGTTTTGACCCACTAAAGTAGGACTGAAGTACAACTTTATATGTAAGTGCATAATTACTTATATTGTTTTTGAAAAAATGCTTAAAGTGTACTGCCAAATGTACTGACTTGAAACTAAAGTATACATTAATGTCTTTTATATTGAAACTTGTATGTCATGTATTTACATTAATTTGTAATTACACATTTATGAAATTGCAATTTTTAACTTTTAATATGACATTATTAAAATTGCCCTTTGTAAATATATATATATATATATATATATATAAGAGAGAAACGCACTCTATATATATATATAAGAGCGAAACGTACTCCTGAAAGTGTACTCTCTTTAAGTACACATAAGTAGCCCTTTATTTCATTATATTATTTGTAAGTATGATGTTTTAAAAATATACTTTTAAGATTTGAAGTACACTACAGGTGCACATTCAGTACAGTTAAGTGCATTTCTTTTTTAATTTCAAACCCCACATGAAAGCATGTATTTATTTCAGCAAGTTACATCATTCACACAGTAACAGACACACAAATGCTTTCTATTCGACTTCCACGACTTCTATTAGGGGAAGTCGTGGCCTAATGGTTAGAGAGTCGGACTCGTAACCCAAAGGTTGCGAGTTCAAGTCTCAGGTCTGGCAGGAATTGTAGGTGGGGGGATTGAATGTACAGCGCTCTCTTCCACCTTCAGTACCACGACTGAGGTGCCCTTGAGCAAGGCACTGAACCCCCAACTGCTCCCTGGGTGCCGCAGCATAAATGGCTGCCCACTGCTCTGGGTGTGTGTTCATGGTGTGTGTGTTCACTGCTGTGTGTGTGCACTTAGGATGGGTTAAATGCAGAGCACTAATTCCTAGTATGGGTAACCATACTTGACCACATGTCACGTCACTTATTCAGTAAATCTGCCAGAATTTAGGTGGATTAAAGGGTGGATAGTACACCATAAAAAAACAGTCCTCATCATAGAAGACATTTTGAAGAATGTTTCAACTGTTTTCATCAATCCGTTCCAAAAGTTTCAAGCTCCAAAAAGGACATAAAGGCTTAGTAAAAGAATCAAGACTTCTTTGCCTGGTTTCACCAAGACAGGGCTTCGGTTAAGCCAAAATTGGGCCACAGTTCAATGAGGACATTTAAGTATCTTTTATAAACGTACCTTAGAAAAAAAAAACATTACTGGTGAACATCTTGAGACAAATCAATAACACTGACATATTTTATGATATGTCAGTGCAAGTTTCTTTTAGTTAAAACAGTCCAGACATGCATTTTAATCTGAGACTAGTTTTAAGCCTTGTCTGTGAAACTGGGGGCTTAAGTCGTATGATCACTTTCTACAGAGCAAAATGTATACAGAGCCCAAATCACATCAGCGACACATCAATAACATTTTTCTTTTGGCACTCTGCTTACTTGTACTATGTGCACTTGTTAATATGGGTGCCTAAAGATACACACCATTTATGTGCTGCCAACTCGTGATGTGTGAAGCAATTGCTTTTTTTTTAAAGTCTTTGTTTCTAAACTTGTTGTAGGCTATAAAGAAGGGTTGTAAATTGCAAACAGTGTTTTATCTCTGATTTGCTCTAGCGAGATCTGAGAGCCTGTTGACCTGTTGGATTTGGAAGCATGCAGCACTTTAATTAGGGAGTCTCGCGCATTTAGACTGGACAATGAGCATGAATCATTGCGTGGATCTCACCCAACTCGTAGACTAGAAAGCTTTGCTCTCTCTGCCCACTCTCTCTCCCTTTAAACACAACTCATCACAACAGATAAAAGAGAAAAGCGAATCCTATCCCTTAAATTCTATCACACGGACCACATGCCTCATTTTTGTTAAACAGGCAGTTAAGATGCCCTTGTCTCCCTTGTGAATACAGGGTTATCTACTTAGCTAGCTCTGCAACCTGATGCACAGAGACCCAAACACTCTCAAATGTCTTCAGAGTTTTTATTGGCTATATTGTGCAATATGTTCTGCAAAATTGTTGTACACTAGTGTTCTTTTTGAGTTGGATGGTGACCATGTGATAAAACAGCAAGGTTTAGGCTCTGGCCACCCTCTGTGACAATGTGCCCATCTCATATCGAGCTGTGAGCTGATAAAGCCAAACATACAGCAGTGAGAGATGTTTATTTCACTTTAATTGAGGGAAATCAAGTTGAGGTGATAATTAGGTGCTCAATCACCTTTTCTATTTTAGTAGGGAAGAGAGCAATGGAATGAAATCATTGTGGCATTAGCCCATACAAAACGTCTCAGGTTACTTGTGTAACCATGGTTTCATGGCTGTCGCCGGCCAACGAGTTGGTGTTTTTTCAATGTATGCTTCAGACACGGGTCACGACGAGGCGTTCCCCAATTTCCTTATTCCTTTTCACCACAGGCTTGTCTTTGAAAATGAAATGAAAGAGAAATAAAAAAGAACTTTTATGCTACAACATTTCTAAACCTAATGTTGTGTTTTATTCCACTCACTAGTTCTCTATGTTGTGAATCTGTAAGTTAAAATGTAAAAACGGTGCAAGTTGAATGATATCATATGATTGTATGAATTGGGTTATCAAGTTGTCAAGACAGAATGCCGGCTCAAGAAGCTCAAAATATTTGGGGAATTTTTAGGGAGCGAATGTTTCAGTCCACCGGAATGATTTTGGTAATTGGACAGCCTGAGAAATGATTGCCTGGGCAGCCCAGGTATCTGGTTAAAAGGGAAAGTTTACCTAAAAAAGAAACTTCTGTCATCATTTACTCACCCTCCTGTCGTTCCAAACCTGCATAACTTGTTTTTTCCTTCTGTGGAACAGAAAATAAGATATTTTGAAGAAACCGTTTTGATGACAGAGAAATTTCTCTAAATATTTTCTTTTATGTTCCACAGAAGAAAGAAAGTTATACAGGACTGGAACAACACGAGGGAGAGTAAATGATGGCAGAAGTTCCATTTTTGGTGAACTATCACTTCAACATTAGTTAACATTAACTAGCCTGTAGAAACCTCTGTTGAGATTGCTGCAGCAAGTCCTGTATCCATTGTAACTTCTATAATTAGTGGATCCCACTTTAGGATTGTGGATATATGTATAAATTCTATCTGGGATTTGGGAAATAAACACATTTTTTAAATATATATTTTTTCATATATTATGGTCTGATGTCAGAACTCATGATAAGCCCAAATGTTTTGCTAAAAATAGGACATATTTCTTGAAAATACAATTTTTATCAATGTGATTTTATTTCCAGAACCATATTGTAGTGCTCGGCAAACATCAGCCCAGTACTGGATTGCCCATCTAATTCTGACCCCATGTTTAATTTATCATTCTGGCCTTTTAAAGTAGTCTCTACCCAGTCAACCTGATGCATGCTTCCCTTATCTTCCCACCCCATTTCATTTTAGCGTGCAGATGGAGAGTGTCACTGAAAATAAAATGGATTACTGTTCAAGAGCTTGTACTGTCAGTCTTCAATCAGTTTCTAATACCTGACTTGAAAGATATTTACAACAACAGTCTATCTCCATTTCGCTAACAGCAGTGCTTCACTTTTGAAGGTAGGAATTATTTTCAAAGCGAGGGAAGATAGTTTTGCACAGAAATCTTTGCATTGTGCATGGGTGACTTGAGAGAGCTCTATTAGTCATGCACCAAAAGGAGAAAAAAGTCTACTAATGAGTCTGGAACGACTTTCATCACCCTCCCGTATCTGTATTCCAGCAACCATGACACACAACTACTAACTCACAGTGCTTCACTCCACGCTGGCCATTTCCATCCAAGAAATGCCATAGGTGTGGTAGAGTCATGGTGACATTTTGGGGAAAAAAAATCATAATTACTTCTAAAAACCTACTTGAAGTTAATTGCTGGTCCCCTTACAACTGCATTTTGCTGTCAAGTTTAATATGCAAATTTGTTATAAAGATGGACTGATTAGTACTGATTTTTTAAGTTGTGTTGCTCAGTAGAGCAGTTTTCTTGGAGACAGGAGTATTGACAGTGCTAATTAAAGCATTCAAATCTTTAGACCTTTATCAGGATTCCATAGCAAATGTATCCATTTACTGAAACATATCAATTCAGTGCGTCTTCCACACAACAAAGCTTCCTTATTAGTGTGAATTTATAGTGTGT